TATATGATTTCCTTCTTTCTCGTTAATTAGTGCTAAATAACATCACGTCACAAAAATGCATATTCGTAGGAATATAATATATAATATATTTATATATATAATTAAAAAAACACGTGGTTCTTGGGCCACTTTGAACTAATGTTCGCAACATTTCGGCCCATGGATCACACAATATCCGCCTGACACGTGAGAGGTGGCTAATCACGATATAAACCCCGAATGATGTGAACGATTTTCTCAAAGAAAGAACATGATGTGCTGCGAATATTCTCATCATTGTTTAATCGGGGCATTGGCCGGGCAAAAAAAAGAAAAGCGCGCACGCGCGCGGCTACGGCATCGCCAGCCACAGTGTGTGTGTATGTGTGGTGCATTATCCTAAAATGCAACCGATAACCACCCCAGGCACCCCAGCTGCCACACCGATTATCAGAGTACAAAAGAGGAATAAGGAAATCAGGGAGAGACAAAGCGAAAACGAGATAGGAAGGATAAGAAGTGGATAGGAAGATGATGAGAATAAAAATGGGAAAAGAATACGATAGTGATACTTTTGGGGCGCCTTTTTAACCGGGGCGGAGCCGGTGGTATTATCGATAAACGCTAGTACCTAGATCAGTCTAAGAATCTCGTCACCGTGAACTGTCTCCGCTTTAGCCAAGTTATGCTTCCTTGCCCCCGCAAGCCGAACTCTCTCTTTAATCGTATCTCTGCATCTATGCATGTGTGTGTGTGTATACATGTGTAATATATATAACATATCCTCTTGCTTTTTTCATTATCTTTTTTGCCTTTATTCCTTTAGCATACTCTTATTATTTCCTTTTATTAATTACATTTTTTTGCACGGAAAAAACCAGAATTTTTTCTTTTATATTGGAATATTATCATGTGTCACAAAAACCCACTCAATTATGATTAGCAATATCATCCTTATCATATTGTTAATATTAATATTATTATATCCTCGATATTATGCTTTTATAAATAGGATGTGTAGGTAAGAGTAGGTAGATATAAAATATGGTAGGCGAATAATCAGGGATAGTGGAAAAGGGAGAAGGGGACACGGAAGGAATGAAAAATAGATAGATAGCGAATGCAAACCGCGATTTCGCTCGAATTTTCCTTTCCTTTTCTTTTTTTTTCGTTTTTAGAAACAATGATCGCAATTACTGGGGACAAGACATGTGTATAAGAAAGGGGAATTTTTCTTTCGTCTAATCGCGTGTTATTACTAGATGTGGTTAATTCATCGTTATCAGTAAAACAGTATCGATGACGAAGAAGAATTAGACTTAAGTAAAAACATGAATAAAAATTAACAAAATGCTCGTAAAACACGAGATCGGGCGAATAATCTATCGTCATTCAAACATTTCGTCCATTGGTGCGTCTATCGTTTCGCATTTTTCACATTTTGTGTGTGTGTGTGTGTGTGTGTGTGTGTGTGTGTGTGTGTGTGTTTGTGTGTGAGGAAAGAGGGGGTGCAATGTGAATCTATAAAATCATACACGGCAATATCGTATTATGATAGGATGTATATGCGATCTTTTGTATATCTGGTTAGTTAATCTGTGGCATACTTGTTCGGTGTTAAACACTCTCAATATCTTATTACATATATCATCCATCAATCCTATTATTGTACCAAATCCAATCCGAGAGGCTAACATATATAACCATTATTATATGTCAAGTATCATACGTATCCACTTGCATGCGAGCGTATGTGTGCATGTGCGCGTATATGCGCATGTATATGTATGTAATAATGGAATGAGTGAGTGTATGTGCGCGCGCATGCGTAGATATATGAATGGGGTAAATGTGTCTTGTGTGTATATATATGTATATATGTATGTTTGTAGTGTATATATGTATGTGTGTAGTGTATATATGTATTGTGTCGTCTCATTTGGTATGTTATAACAAACAGAAGTCTGATATGCTATTCCGTTATTACAATATTCGTTTTCTCTTTTTTTTTATTTTTATACCGTATTTGTCTTCATATTCCGGGGGTGCGTGTAAAATACAAATGATTTGCATATGTTTTCTTTTTTTCTCCCCTTTTTCAAATAATCATCCAGAACAGGGGGTGTCTGGGCTCCAGGGACAGGGACCAACTACAGCCCGCACTTACAACTCTTACTAATTAACTAACAGACTAACAATAACAACAAGTCAACACTCAAAATGTGTGCTGTATGTGTTTCATGCATTTGTAAACATTACATTTTACATTCTACTTCAATCTGTGACTATCATTATCAAATTCATAGTCAGTCATCTTTAAAAACTTCTCTTCCTTTCTTTTTTTTTATAAAAGAATACAAGAAACAAATTTACTTTTTACATAAAATTTAGAAGAAACAATACACTCTTTTTTATTTCCCTTTCAAAGGGAATAGATTCACTTTAGATATTTGTTTTCAACGATTGATTTTTTTAAATATAAAAAAAAAGAAACACATTAACAAATAAATATATTATAATTTAGATCCGAGTTTGCCTTGCTACTTGGATACTGTCATTGAAAAATTTACTGTACAAGTGGGTTTTCTCTCGATTGTGAGCAATACTCTTTTTTTCCATTTTCCTTTTTCTTATCCAATAGAACCCTGGCATGACTGTAACCAAAACCTAATTTAGGAGACATTCGCAGAACCGTTGCAACTCGTTTCATACTCTCTACTTTCACAAAACTTTGCCTGTGTGACTCTTAATAATAATAGTTTCACTGTACACATTTATAGACCAACAATAGAAGGTCTTGTGGCACGCTTTGGCGCGCTCCACGCACAAATACACACACACAGACACATTCCGTTTAAAAACAATTTCTCTCTCTCTCTCTCTCTCTCTCTCTCTCTCTCTCTCTCTCTCTCTCTCGCATATTTACTAAATATCGCATTCTCGCCCTGCGTTTTCTGCTTGTCTATACCTACATTTTCTATTTCTTCAAAGTTGAACTTCCATCTTTTCAATTTCTATCTTTCGTTTGTAACTTCTCCGTTTTTCTCCCTATTTATTTCGTCCTATCTAACACACATGCTTCGTCACATAGATTCAAAACATCTAGTCATCGCGTAATAAACCGCAGGCTTCCATGAGTTCTCTTAACTAATACAAGCCATCACAATCCCTATGTCAACATCGCTGATCTTCATCACTTGGCAGTAAACAATGTGACAATGCAGTAGTGGTACTTAGATTAGTATTAGTATCATAATAATAATAATAGTACGGGGTGGGTGGGTGGTCACACTCCGATATAATAATTAGTCTCAGTGGCACATCACTGTACATAATCACAATAACAGTGGGCGATGGTGGTGGCGCAGAATACAGTTGCTGCGTATCATTAATATGAAAAAACATTTACATTATTTGAATTCGATTAAGAGCGATAATAATACAAATGGATGATCTCTTTCCTTCCCTTCATCTCGAGTTCCCCCTCCCCCCCCCTCTACGTTTCGTCAGTCTGATTTTATTTTATTTTTTTCCCTTATATTTTATGTTTTTTGTTTCTCACTTCGTTTATCATGCATTTGTTCGTGCATATTTTTTTATCACTCACAGGATTGCAGAAGTTAGCTCCACGACTGGTAAGAGTCTTGATACCATTCGTGATCGTCGCCGGAAACACCGCCGAGTGTGCCGGCTCTACTTCCGAAAGCTATGTCACCGCCACCACCACCACTGCCACCATTTACACTCGCCAATCCATATGCATTGCCCAGTGGTTGTTGGGCAAGGGGCTGGTTTCCCCAATTGCTCTGGAAGCGACGCTTAGATTCCCCCTGGTTCTGGTGACCCCCGTCAAATTTTCGTTTACCTGCTGTAAGATATTAAGATGATAAGATCGATAATTACGTGAAAGAAAGTCTAAAATATTAATATTAAATTAACAAACACTCCTTTTTACCATTGTGCATGACGCTTGTAAGATGTTACATAAAGAAAGATGAAGAATTTCAAGAGTTCTTGTGTTAATATATGTGATGTGTTCGTAAAATGTTAATATGTACGGACATACTGTGATAATGGTATGAAATAGTAGTGAAGTTAATCTATTTAATTGATTCTATTGACTTTACAAAATTGCAAGAATTATAAGTCTTTCAATTAATATGTGATATAAGCATAAAGAAATTCACTAACCTACAGTTTTATTACTATCAAATGGATGGGACTTGGATACCTTGGTGAGAAGGAGTGGATGGTTTACTGTAAGATGAATATTATATGAACAATTCACAACATATATGCGATCATTTGACAAACTAATTATTGTATATGCATTTTGAAAATCTCAAACAACTGAAAATTTCATTAGCAAATCTGTAAAAACAGAATTAAATTGTAACTAAATATTTTCTCCAAATAAAATAATTATAATTATATTTGTTAAGAGATTTTTCTAGATTCTTCTAGATTCATTATACAAATTATCTTTTCAAAATAATTAATTGTACTTAATAGTTGTATTTGCATTTTGGAAGTGAGGAGATAAACGTTTTATAAGCAGTCAATGTTACATATATTTCAACATCAGAATATTTTTTTGTACATAAATATAGGAAAGAAATCGATGTATATTGAAGAATTTCTATTTCCGATAAAAAAAATTATCCAGAAAATAATTTTATTCAAATATTTTTTTTATGCAAAACAGCATATTAAAGAAGAGCAAAAATTTACTAAAAAGCAAAAGCGAATATCTAATAAGAGTTTTCTAGCGAAATACTATTTATAGCAAGGATAGATATTTTAGGATGATTTATATGGAATATTATATGCAAAAACCTGTATAAAATTGTAATTAATACCATTACAACAATATAGTTGTATAAATGTATATAAGTAAAAACTTTATGTACATTTGTGAGAACTATCGAGGCGAGATAATAACGACACTGTTTGACAAGAAAAAAAAGACAAATTATTTTCTGTAGGTTTTTGAACACTGAATACCAAACTATTTTCTAAATTGCTCCATCATATTATAATTTTGAAAAATTTGCAGTTAAAATTGTAGAAGGAACTATTTTTACATATTTTGTCACATTGTAGCTACGACATGTGATATGTTAAAGAAATTTGATTAGAATCAAAATTAAATATGTGTTAGAACTTTCAATTCTTAATAGAAATTTTTAACCGGTGATTAAAATGATATGATTACATAATACTTATTAAATATAGGACCTATTATGAAAAAACTGCAAATCACTGATGATTTTCTAAATAATTTTCAATCATGTTCATTTAAGAGAATTCTATTTTTTGGACGAAAAAAATTGATTTTTTGGAGAATTTTTTTTTATCAAAATGTAAAATCAATACATTTGAATTTTTGGAACATTGTTTTACTATATTCAAATGTAATTACAGGTTTTTTTTTATTAAATTTGAGCCAATATTACGCCTGTTATTTCTCCTCAAATGGTGACATGCGAAGTATCTCCGTCACTGATGCAAGATATCTTCCGTCCCAGTCATTTGAAATATAAAAATCTGATAGCATTTAATTTTATATTCTTTTATATTCTATAGTTATCGTTGGATGGAACAAGCAAAAAAAATTGATACTTGAGAAAAAATGGCGGCTTGTCAAAGAAAAATCATCGATTTCGCTCTAAAAATTGGCTGAATTTTTTGCAATAAAAATAAAAGTATATAATACGTATTGTTTTTTTTTTCGAACGATAAAGGAATGTTTCCTCAACATATAGTTCAAAGCGGAAGATGATCGGTTTCGTAAATATCGTGCACCAGTCGCGAAAAAGCTGTTCCGAAAAAAAGCTGTTTCGCGTTTAAAGTTTCAGTGCGCTAAATTATATACCTGCACGTCGAATTGCTCTATTGCTTATAACTTCACTAATTTTATGAATTGCGAGTTAAAATTTGCTGTACATATTTTTAACATTTCTATAATATTAAAAATTTCTATAATATTAAAAAAATCATTTTTTATCAAAAAAAAAAAAAATTCCCCCTTAAATTTAGAACCGGTTTTTCATTTGCTAATTAACTTGTGATTTAAAAGAATTCGGACAATGTGATTTTAAGTCGTTTCAATCTAGCTTTAATCATCCCGATCAAAATTGATTTTGGGCACGTGTCGAAAAATCAAAATTGAATAATGGTATTATTTTACCTTGTATTAGCGTTATTAACATAGTTAAGCTAATCATTGCATCCAAAAATTTTTATACATAATCAAATATCATTATAAAATATCATTATAAAATTATGCAAATATACAGAGTATTTGATGCAGGGTAACGATAAATATTTCACACGGGGGCAGAATGGATTAAACTGAGAAGAAAAGTCTTCTACCATTTTACAATTTTCGCAATAGTTAATAAGATATTAGTTAATAAATTAATTGCTAAAAATTGCTGAAAATTGGTCTTCAATAATTTTTTACTCAAATACTATCAACAGAAATATTACTGAAAAACTGCAAGAGATAAAAATTAATAGTATTGGAGTAAAAAATTATTGAAGATCAATTTTCGACAATTTTTTAGTAATTAATATCTTGTTTACTATTGCAAAAATTGTAAAATGGGAATTTTTTTCTCAGTTTAGTCCATTCTGTGGGAAAGTTTTATTGTTACTTATCGAACATTCTATAAATAAGATTAGGTATAAATATAATTATACCCAATCCAGTATACAATTATATGAGCTTATATAATACTGACTCATATAATTATATATATTTTCCAATTGTTTAATACATCTTAACATTAACGTACACACAGGAATGCACAAAGTGTAACATTGTACATGATTCAATTGGAACAGAATGTATATATTGTGCACAGTTTCGCTCCATTTAAAAATATAGCTTTTTCTGTCTGTATTAAATAAAAAAAAAAGTAAAACTGTCAGTTATTCGATGTTCTCTAATCTTTATTTATAACCGATTAGTAACACGTAATTGTCACTAGAAAACACAACCTTACATAATCGATTAATAGCTCTCGGGCCGAATACGGATGTGTCGTGTCGAGGATTATAGCAATTGGAACGTAACTTGTGTATACGAAAGTGTCGTGATTTTACAATTGGAAACCTATAAATTCCTCATAATATGTATTTATATGAATATACATAACAATATATATTTTCGTATTTTTATTATATACGTATTTTTATATAACCCATATATAAATTTATTTAT